CATGGGTTTTATAAATTTTGGAATATTCTGTCACAAAACATAATACAATATCTTTTAAACAATTTAGTAAATATTTATTATATAAATATCTATGTCCTCAAACTTTATTTGTGACAAAAATAATTATAACAAACTTTAATCTGAAAAACGAAAAATTAGAATAAAATGTTGTAAATCTAGTTAAAGAAATAAAGGTAAATTTATTTATGGAAAGATTTTCTAAATGATTTTGTTATGATTAATTAATTTAAATTTAATATAGAAAATTCCTATTCAAGTTTGCCATGTCACATTTTTTGTTTAGCCATGTCATAATTTTTTTTGATAGAGTGATTGTGAAGATGACACATAATCAATCTCTCACAAATTACTTCTCACTTGATATATAAGGGATTGATCGTGAAGTGTGCAGCATCATCTACTCAAGAAGACATAAAAGCGTTGGAAGGAGTTAATGCCTCTATGGATTAAGGTAGCATCACTCAAATCAAACCCAATCAATAGTAATCTTGTTTTTAATATTTTCTTGCCAAGATTACTCTAGCTCTTAGATAAAATTTTTGTAATATCTTGACAATTCATTTTCTAAAACACTTATAAAAACATTAAATAAGAGAAACGATATGATGAAGAACAAATCGTTATATTTAATTATTGTTTATTTTCTTACTAGAAAAACATATTCTCCGTTCTTCCAATTCCCTAAATTATTGGTTCCAACTTCCATGTTGTGATTCCTATATAGAGTCAAGATCAAATTGTTAAAAACTTTGTGTTCTTATGTTCTTGTTACCTTTGAAGACATCTCCAACCCATCCCTATTTTTTTTTTCTAAAAATAGAGAAAAAGTAGCAATCTTCTATTTTTTTTTCTCCAACCCATCTCTATTTCTAACTCTAAAATATATATTGCTATTTTACTCTATATATAAAGGAAAAAGTGTAGCGAACTCTAAAATAGACGAACTCAATAATAGAGATACATTGCAGTGAAAATAGTACAATACTATTTTTTACTCTATTTTAGAGTCAAATATAGAAAAATACATTAGAGATGGTCTGATTGGGACATCCAACAATTGGTATCATAGCACTTTTTAGTTTTGATCCGGACCACACTTTGTGGTATCAAAACCGCAGCTTGTTAACCATGAATGACGAGTGTTATGTTCTTCTTTGTGAATTACACGAGAGTGTAACCAAGATGGAACTGTATTTAAGGGATTGGGAAGAGCTTGGAGTAAGTGGGTAAACAAATCAAACTATCCCAAATAGGTCATGGAGATTGCCATTGATCTGCAAGTTTAGACAGAATCTCGATGCTTTGGGACATCATCGCTCAAACGAACGGCTAGTTCACCACTGAAATGCCGACGAGCTCAAACTGTTCCAAATAGACGCCAACATTCCATTGCTCGGACCAAAAAAACTAAGAAGGCATCAATAGAGAACAACCATTCAATCGTGGGAAAGTTGGTGTCGAACTTTGAAGACAAAGTTCTTTTGGTGATGAAAGTACTGATGGAGAACAAATCGTTAAATTTAATTATTGTTTATTTTCTTACTAGAATAACACATTCTCTATTTTCCCAATTTCTTAAATTATAGGTTCCACTTCCATATTGTTTCCTTTTTTTTTCTGCGCAACACTTTGTTTTCATTAATTTAAAATATTGGGTTACAACTACTAATACCACAATACATGAAAGCATTAACAATTAAAGCAGAAGAAACATCATAATTATACGACAGTGAATCGAAGAGAACTTCCCGATGCGACAGTATAAAATTTGCGGCTAAGCCGAAAATCATAGACTTGGTCACTTTGGACAGTGACGTTGGAAGATTACTCATACCTTTGAGTTTTGTCAAGACGAAACCGATTGTATCTATTGGCCGAGTATAGACCGCTACGCCAGAATACAAATTGGTTAGCGAATTGCTCGTTTTGATTCCGAGAAAAATCTTACTCTCAATGAGAGAAAAAATAATGAAATAATTCTCTTCCCGAACCGGGAGGAGTATAGACGAGTTCTCTCCCACAATGAAGAATTTGCAGGATTTGAGAATGTATAAAACTTTGATCTTCATAGTGCAGAGAAGATATCACGCTCAAAAGCATATTTGATTTTAAGACTGCAGAGGTAAAGAACATACTCTACCATCGAGGATTGGGTAATAGCCATAATTGGCAAACTAGGCTAGGATCAACAACCAAGCATGTCCATCTTTTTATGGCCTTCAACAATATGGAGTATGTAGAGATGGTTGGTAGGTCAAAGATGTTGTCGTGGAGAACTATGACGGCGAGGAAGCTTGTTGAACCAGAGACCACTACTGAATCCAAGAAGAGGGCAACACCAACGGAGCAGATCGTCCGGAGGGATCATGGCGAAGGGTGCGCGGACTGAGTTTTGAATCTTATAATATAATTTTGAGATCTTAACATATGAGATAGCTTTGCAACCACTGGTGGAAGAGGTGAAACAAACCGAGGGCACGGAATGAAACCCAACACGATGAGAGAAGGTAAATCCGGCAGAGAGCTTAGATTGAACCGGCCACAACACAGGTGATGTAGATCTGTTGACGACTTCATCAGCGGCT